AAAAACGAAACCCCCTCTCAGTCCAAAAGAAGCGCTTCCGCCCAGGGAAGGTAGGGGGCGCAATTGAGTGGATACAACTACTGAGTGTGGGAGGCGTGGCATACCAGTGGAGGCGTGGTTTATTTGCATATCTACGTCGGGTACTAATTAGGTCTGCAGACGACATCGAAAATATTCGACGTCGAAAATCGTCGATGCACGCAACGAAACGAAACGTCGAAACTGCCGATGCAAACATCGACGAAACATACATCGAAACACACATCGAAAACATCGAAACACACATCGAAAACATCGAAAATGTCCGTCGTTGTACGTCGGGATTTTTCGACGTCGAAAACATCGAAAAGAAGGTTCGATAAATTACATTTTTTTCGGAACGAAAAATGGTAAGGTTAGGCCGTTAAGTTCAATAACTCCCAGATCTCTTGGTCGATACCTGCAAGCAACGAAACATGATCAGCACTTTTATTTCATACAGATAAGTATCCTTTACTGTCATGTAAACTGTTGTCTATCTATCTATTATTCATCTATATCTGGCTACTTACCATGTACCCTTCTACATGTATCTAATTAATATCAATCAACCAATTAATCTATTTATCTACATGTATCTATCTATATAACATTTCACCCATCATCAGACGTTAATGAGGTTGGTGACATTCAATTAAATAGTTCGTTTCTAAAAGAAAGTAGTTGAATTAATTTAAAGCTTTTAAAATTAACACGTAGTATCAATTTTATGTTCTATTACCTTGCACGTGATGAGAGTCAAATGTCTTTGTCCATACTAAATGTGGCTACAAATTCAAACCACTCACTAAAAAAATAAAAATTTTGCCCCATTGAATCGGTACTTTCAAAATTTCGCAAACATTTACTTAACATCCCCAAAACACTAGTAATTTTGCATCACTGCAGAAGTAGGGAGGTACCCCTTTCACCTGGAGGCCTCCCTAAACGCTATCAAGTATTTTGTTCGACTCTGTAAGAACGTACCAGCTGACACCCTACAGGCAGACGCCCTTCTATGTCAAGTAGACTTAGAAGAATCAGGTGCAAAATGTTGGGCGTCTGGTGAACTGTAGAGGAATGTGGTTATGCTTTCGTCTGGCTGGCAAAATCCCCAATCAATTGTCTCAGACACGTCCCCTATCATTTCATCAATTTTTCAGCGTCTAAAAGATAAATATTTTCAGACATTTCTATCCGAAATCCACAACGATAACAGAATTAGAAATGCAAAGAATAAACTCAGATTATACAGACTATTAAAACATTCTTATAACGAAGAAGAAATCTTAAATTAGCAAATGTACGTCATAGATCCACCATTACAAAACTAAGAATCAGTTGTCACAAATTGCGAAACGAATCAGGAAGACATAGCCGCACTCCCCTAGAGCGAAGAATCTGCCAATTTTGTAGTCTAGCTAGAGTACAGGACGAAGTAAATTTTACCATAGATTGTCCTTTATATGACAGTGATAGACGCATACTTTTCGGTTTGTTTTAGGTAAATTTCCCCACTTCGGATTCTTGACAAGCAAAGAAAAATTTATATTCCTGTTTCAGTTAGCCTTTCATGAACCAAATCTAACTACTCATACAGCCCCGTACATTTATACAAATACTAAGAAGCGAGGAAAGGTTAAAAAGACTAGAATACATTAGACTTTTTATATACATGTAATAGTTATATGTATATTTACATGTATAACGTTATATGTATTACGTATATGTATATGTGCATACGTATAATGTGACCTGTGCTTAGCCCAGTGGGGCAAAAATGTACAAAAAAGGTCTTATTCATTAATAAAAGTCTCTAAATCGTTAGCAGACCCACCTTTCTGCGAATTGCCGTTTCCATTGCCCTGTGAATTGCCGTTTCCATTGCCCTGTGAATTGCGGTTTCCATTGCCCTGTGAATTGCCGTTTCCATTGCCCTGTGAATTGCCGTTTCCATTGCCCTGTGAATTGCCGTTTCCATTGCCCTGTGAATTGCCGTTTCCATTGCCCTGTGAATTGCCGTTTCCATTGCCCTGTGAATTGCCGTTTCCATTGCCCTGTGAATTGCCGTTTCCATTACCCTGTGAATTGCCGTTTCCATTGCCCTGTGAATTGCCGTTTCCATTGCCCTGTGAATTGCCGTTTCCATTGCCCTGTGAATTGCCGTTTCCATTGCCCTGTGAATTGCCGTTTCCATTGCCCTGTGAATTGCCGTTTCCATTGCCCTGTGAGTTGCCGTTTCCATTGCCCTGTGAATTGCCGTTTCCATTGCCCTGTGAATTGCCGGGTGCATAGATGGTTAAAAAGGATATTCGATGCTTTGTGATAAAACCAGAAGGGTGCTTAAACTGAAAAGGAACACTGCAAAGGCTCTGTCAATGATAGTTGGGTAAATTTAAGTTAAGGGAAACAATCCAAAACAGTAATTATCCTTATTTGACACACCTGCTGTCCTGTCGTGTCCATCAGAATAGCGAAGCTTGTGAGATGGTTGCACTCACAGATCGTGTGGGTTGTGTTTGTCGTAGCCTTAGTACAACCCTCATCCGACCAATTGCTGCAAACAGAATGGAAGTGGAAATATGGCAACGGTATTATATTTTAGAGGTAAAGGGTAATTTATTGTCACTAAAAACAGTAACCAGTAGTCGTGGTATGATTTCAGTTCAGTTTCGTTCATGTTTACCAATAAGAAGCAACGTAACACTAACGATAATAGACACACTCACCCGTGGAAGACGTCCCAGAAAACACATAGTGTTGAACCGTTGGATGTCTGCAAAAGAAATGTGATCATTCTGCATAGTTTTTCTACTTTTCAACTTCCCATTTAAATCCAGACATTTCTGTGATAAGGAATAACGAATCATTAATATCTTACATGCAGATAATGAATCAATACTATGATGTAAGTGATCATAGTGAATAGAGAAGAAGTACCTGCTCGGTATGCTCCAGAACAATGGTAACATTACCATCGATACTGGGTCCAGTGGTAGAGTTTCCGTTTACCAGTGTAGTGTTTACTAGGGTTGCAGAGATGATCCTAGAGTTGACGGTCCTGTTCTTGGGCTTCAGGTACCGTCCTACATTTCTGTAGATTGCAGAGATGACATGATGCTCTGTTCTCGGCAGGGTGATTCCGTCCTTTACTTTGGTCCATAAAGACGACGTACCAAGATCCGGAAATGTAGCAGGTCCCGTAGTGCCATTCTTGATTGCCATCACTGTGTGTAGACATCATATGCAACATTATTTAATCCTTGACGTCCCTTAAAACATACAGATACACTGAGCAAAAAATGTGTTAATTATGAGCTTTCTTATAATGATGACTTTGATATCAGGCATCCTTGCGATGATATTGATATCTTTCGTTACAAAATATTAAGATTGCAACTATTTGTCGCAATTCAAGGCCATTGACTGATGAAGAATGCACGAGAATTACCTATATTTTCCTTGGCTATCCAATGAGTTTCTTCAGGCACCACCCTAGCCAACAGGATAGCTGCCCGCTCGGAACTATCTAGGATTCCTGACGTCACTTCAGACCATCGGTTCTACAAGGGACGCAAGAAAGGTTTCCAATAGGAATGATAAACAAAAGTTGTCTTTAATAAATACGTAGCGGATACAATGTAGTACATGTAAGTGCTTATACCACGAATGATGCAACAATGTCTGATTATACTCAGCAACAATGGTATTGGTAATTACCATATACAGCCAGAAGGCGTCGACCAATCAGAAAGCTCCATTTGCCATTGGTTATCAGGCTGTAACCTCAAAAGTGGTCGGTTATTAGAATAACCGAAAACTTTTTGGACCGTACCATTATACAGGGGACTGGGCACTAACAGTTGTGTTAAAACTTGTAATATTCATCTATAAAAAGGATTATAGTTTATGTTGAATAATTTACTTCAAAATACAACACAATTAAAACGATGGAAATGAAATTTAAACAGAAAAAGACTAAACATAATTTATTACACCCCCACTAAAAGTGGTACTGTTTCAATGTCACGTGGTCAAATGATTGCCTACAAATGTAGATGATCTGTTTTTCTTTCCATGCCATCTTGTTTCACATAACATAGAATGTGAGAGTTTTTTTCGGCAATGAAGGAATTTTATAAAGAAATTTGTGTCAAATCACTGTGTCATTTGGATAGGCTATATGATGATAACGTTAATGCCCCGCCTTATCCTCGGTACGTGTATATGGTGATATAACCCCTGATCAGGTGCGATAAACTTAGTGGTTTATTCGGTGGTTATCGCACCTCACCAGGGATTATCTCACCATATACACCTCGGGGTGGGGCATTAACCCTTTATTAACATATAAACATTTACTGCAAAACATACTCCGCACTTCATATATAGTGTAACATCGCACCACCATTCTTCCAGCTCGAAGGTTTAGCAGAAAGGAAATGACGTGTGACTTGTTGAAAGCCCGGCAGTAACTTTACAGTAAACATTGCACCCAGTTCATATTATTGGCAACACGTTTAGTGAAAAAAAGTACTTCTGAGGAGCAAACAGTGCGTCATCATCTAAATTCCACACAAAAGTACTTGTTTTGCTGTGACATCATTGGGAGAATTCTACTTTAGTGTCATAAACACTTTTCCAAATACTATAAAATGTTGTTTAACGTAACAATGGTCAAAACCATAGGCACGTACCTCCGGAATAGATCTCCATGCGCTGTTGGTGCGTTCATTCAACAGGACATTTCCGCAAGTTATCATCGTCTGCCATAAAAGTATTAATCATACTTTTTTAGTCAGTGAGTGATAGTTCTTTTATATTAGTTAGCATCTACAAAGTTTACACAGTAGAAAGTATATCAAATTATCCATACCATTATCATCATCATGAAACACAGCGTTACTTGTTCATGAAGGTGAAATGTTTCTATATGATTGAAATACTCCGATTCAAATTAAAACAATCCCTTACTTTTTTTAACCGTGTCGCTCAATGCAAGGCCGTTGGCCACTTCTAGGCATAGAGCTAGAGGTATAGAACTGTAACAGCAACTATTCTCCCTGAAACATCCTCACAAGTAGTGAGGACTAAATGACCCAATAGGAGAAGCAGGGGTTACGAGGCTGGTTTGTTCCACATCCTGGTACTAACCTTTGCAAACCCAACTGCCTCTTCTTTCCTCATTTGCTGTGAATTTTTGCTGAATCGACGTTCTTGAGCATCCATCAGACGACCGAGCAGCCTAATACTTCTGTTGATATCGCCGCCATGTATGTTCTGTCTCACCCTTACCAGATGCTCTTTTACACGAGAGAGGATTTCCACCGGGACCACACCTTGTTCAAGCTGCACCAGAAACGTAAACGCATTGTTTATGACAAAAACTTAAAGTTCATCTGTGTTTGGAGGATTCGTTTCTGAAGCAGGGTTTAACTATTATTTCCAACACATCTAGAAGATGGAAACACAAGCTCCCAAGTTCAAGAACATCGGTAGAACTTAATTGGAGCATTTGTGAACAAAGTCTTGCAAGAGGAGTTAAAGATGGTAGATTGTCCATTACTTGAAAAAGACTGGTACTGCATGTTTAGTCGCAAATTTGGGTAAGTACCGTGGCCGACAAGGACACACCTGCGTCGTCTGCGCGCACACCTGCGCGTATACCTGCGTCATCTCTGCAAAGAGCTTCCCCGTCTGCGCACGAATACCTCAGCGGCGTCGTGTCTGCCAGGAGCTTCCTCACGCCTGCACAGAAAGAGCTTCCTCGTCTGCGCACGAATACCTGCGTCGTGCCTGCCAAGAGCTTCCTCACGCCTGCACAGAAAGAGATTCCTCGGCGACCTCGCTGCGCGCAACGAAAGCTCGCTGCACGGAAGAATACGTGTCACCCCTGCCTTGTTGAAGAATGGACGGTCCCCTATTATAGGTCAAGGGTGACACCACCTAAAACAATTTGATTCCCGTCTTTTTCTGGGGTTTTGTTGGGTCTGTCCCGTACGTAATAAAATCACTTTTATTTTTATTCATTCATAAAAAATACCCTATCAACGTGTTTAAAATCATGAGGGAGCAGAATCAGTTTAATGGCGAGGGAGCGGAGTGACCAACGCAAAGCCTTTGAGAATTTGACTCGGGTTGAAATGGGACATTCTGAGGCTACTTGAGGGGGGAAATGTGTTAGCAGGCACGATTCCCCAGTGCATGTTGGATTGTTGGGGTGGCAATAGGTTGATAGGGAACACTATATTGGGTGTACCATTCCTAGAGGGTCTGCATGCCCTTTTTCGTTAACCGTTATGGGCTATTTTAATTTACCGTTAATCCTTGCCGGCCCGCTCTAATTCAACGTTAAGCGTTATCAGTATATTCCTCGTGAAGCGTTATTGGTCGTTTTAATTCAACGTAAAACGTTATTTGTCATCCTGAATTCAGCGTTAAGCGTTAATGAATAATTCTTCGTTACGCCTAATTTTGCCTATCAAAGTGCAGGAAAATGCGTCATTGAAGGTTTAAAAATACAAAATTTCCCGGGGGAGAATGCCCCCGGACCCCTCTACATTGCTCGCGCCTTTGGCGCTCGACTCGCGCTTCTGCGCTCGGTCCCTTCCGCTCTAGCCAGAACCAGTTTACCCTTCAATTTCCGGAGAAAAAATGCAAGCTGGCCGAAGTCGACTCGGACACCCCGGTATTTGTGGACGCACTAGGGGGCCAGGGCAGGTGGGCAACACAGGGAACACATACCTTTAATGCATGCTTCATTACATGTAAGGTATACGTAATTTTGTCAGTGATCACCTTTTCTCACAAAGCGAGATACCAAATCCAGTGCAGCTCGAAAAAAAAGCCTGTCAATTTACCGTTAAGCGTTGCCGGCCGTCCTGAATTTACCGTTAAGCGTTATCAGCCCTGCTGAATTTACCGTTAACCGTTGCCAGGACCCCCCCATGCAGACCCTCTTCCTATAGAGGTACCGGTCTTTGCCCTTGCATCTTTACTCCCTTGCACTATTTATCAATTGCAGTATAATAGAATTGTTCATGATTACTTTAGTTTAGTAAACACGTCACTATTGCAATAAATGATTTTAAACACGTTGAATAAAAATAAAAGTGATTTTATTACGGGACAGACACAACAAAATCCCAGAAAAAGACGGGAATAAAATTGTTTTAGGTGGTGTGACCCTTGACCTGTAATAGGGGACCGTCCATTCTTCAACAAGGCAGGGGTGACACGTATTCTTCCGTGCAGCGAGCTTTCGTTGCGCGCAGCGAGGTCGCCGAGGAATTTCTTTCTGTGCAGGCGTGAGGAAGCTCTTGGCAGGCACGACGCAGGTATTCGTGCGCAGACGAGGAAGCTCTTTCTGTGCAGGCGTGAGGAAGCTCTTGGCAGACACGACGCAGGTATTCGTGCGCAGACGAGGAAGCTCTTTGCAGAGATGACGCAGGTATACGCGCAGTCGACGCAGGTGTGCGCGCAGACGACGCAGGTGTGCGCGCAGACGACGCAGGTGTGTCCTTGTCGGCCACGGTAGTACCGTCCTAATCACTTCCTCTGCACAGCTCACATGTAATTTTACTTAATCAATTTTACTCAATTACCTGCTTTTCGAGGCAGACCCACGGTGATGTACATCGGGACATGTCATTCTGTGTGCAGTTCTGACAGTCGACTAAACAACAAAACGCGTTGATATAAATGTTAAGAATAATAATTAAAAACGTAGGAATGACAAAATAAATCACAACAGTATGTATAACTTTTTATATCATTCGGCTTCGGACTAGCTTGGGATCACACTTTTCATATTATCATTTCTTTATAACTTCATCAGTACAGGTGTCAAAATCGTTATTGCCGAATATAATTGGGTTACATATACGAAATAACATGGTTTTCACCCGAAAAAGCGTGGTCTGATGATGTAGTATTCATGTCCAGTTGACAAGTAGTTTTGTTGTCTGAAAGATTTGTTTACGGTATGATATGTTTACATCGCACAGTATGACAGTTTGATGATACTAAACCGTCTTATATATAGTAATAATAAGTAATACATTTTCTTTGGGAATACATTCTATACTCAAACACAGATAGCTAGAGCTCGTTATTTGAACTTTTATTAATGTCTAGGCCCAGCAACCCTACATACAAAAGCCGAGCGTGCGATCTGGAGAAAACATGCCCGCGGGATAAGGAAACATGTCATCATAGGGTAAAGCTTTCAGCAATACGAGGTGTACATGTACATGTACGTGTTTTGCATGCATAGTTCTGTTTATTTTTTCATTGACTTCGTTGATAATCACATACTATGTTTTTTTCTCGGCGCACTACAAATTTGACGGCATCGCAGGAATTTTTGTTCAGAAACATGCCCTTGCGGAGGTAAAAAAAAGATGCCATTATAATATCAGCCTTGTCATTCATGGTAGTGACGCAGATTTAACTAATACTCTAATGTTTGTTTACTGTATCTGTTTTAGTAAAGGCCATCTTAACTGGGTGATAAACATGGTGTAGTGATACAGAAGCCAGTATACATAACATACCATATATAGATAGTTGGACAACGTTACATTAAATGTATATGTTGTAACAAGGCCATGTATGCTTGTAGGTGCATGTAACTTGGCATACCGGTAGTCGCTTCAGATGAGCCGCTGCCAGCCGATTCCCTTATCTGTGCCATAATGATGTAGCTCCAGAGGAAGCTTATTGCTACGATTGTGAAGACGCCTGTGGGAGGTTTCATGTTCACCTTGATCAGGTCTCGGTCCGTAGTTAGAAATTCTTGCTGTGTGAACGCACTCTCGTAGTCAAATCTCGTCAGATTACCACACACAAACAAGTTACACGGTTGCAGCGTTTTTTGACACGAACATAGGCTAAACCTTACATAAAATGGGTGGTCTATGAAGAGCTATAAAAAGGAACATG